GCATTTTAATCTCAGATGACAAATCTTGGCCTTTCATTAACAGCTTTAAAAAGACTGTTTAAAATGTAAATCAGATATTTTACAAAGAAAATACCTACAGAGATTCACAAAAGAAAATAAGAAAGGAATCAAAGCACATCACTATTTAAAGAAAAAAAATGATGAAATATAAAGATAGCAAGAGAGGAAAAGAGGGATAAAAAAATTACAAGACAGAAACAAAGAGCAAAACAGCAATAAGTCCATTAATTGCAGTAATTATATATTTATGGACTAAACTCTCCAATAAAAGACAGAGAACGATTAAATGTATTAAAAAAAACTGTATGCTATCTGTAAGAGACATGCTTTAAAGACACACACAGACTGAAAGTAAAAGGATAGACAAAGACATTTTATGTATATAGGAACCAAAAGAGAAGAAGGATAGCCAGACTATAAGTCAAAAAGTATCAGAATTTAAAGATTTAAGAGTCAAATTCACCATGAAAATATGACCATTATAAACATACATGCACTCAACATGAAAGCAGCCACATAAAGACAGGTATAGCACGTACAGTCTCAAAAACTGAAGCAGAAGGATTGCTTGAACCCATTAATTCAGAACCCATTAATTCAGACAGACAGCTTGGAAAACAGAGCGAAAGACCTGGCTCTTATAAAAAACAAACAATGTGAGGCTTGGTGGAATATGCCTATAATTCCAGGGCCCAGGAGACTGAGGCAGAAGGATCTTAAACTCAAAGCCAACTTCAGCAATTTGACAAGGCCCTAATCAAATTAGTGAATAAAAAATTATTCACTAATTTGTGAATGTGGCTCACTTAACCACTGAGCCACATCCCCTGCCATTTAAATTTAAAATTTAGAAAAATTTAAATGACAGAGGATGTGGCTCAGTGGTTAAGTGCTCCTGGGATCAATCGACAGTACCAAAAAAAAAGACAACCAAATATATGAAGCAAACAATGACAGAAGTAAATGGAGAACCGGACAGCAGCATAATAATAGTAATATTTTGAACAACATGATATACTAAGTGCATCTAACAGAAGGTACAGAACATTCCATCCAACAACTGCAGAACATAGAATCTTCTCAAGCACACTTGGAACATTCTCTAGGATAGATCATGTATTAGGTCAAAAACCAAGTCTTGGGCTGGGCTTCTGGCTTAGCAGTAGAGTGCTCGCCTAGCACGTTTGATTCTCAGCACCACATAAAAACAAATAAATAAAAATAAAGGTATTGTGTCCAACTACAATTTAAAAAAAGAATAAAACCTTAAAAAAAAAGTCTTAACAAATTTTAAAAGACTGAAATCATACCAAGTATCTTTTCCAACTATACTGGAATGAAAATAAAAATCAATTGTGGAAGGAAAACTGGAAAATTAAAAACATGTAGAAATTGACTAATGTGGGGGATAAATGGAAGCACATGTTTGTAACCATCTTACGCTCTCCAGTCTTCCACTATTCAGGTAGCATAGTATTGTTTAAAGAGTGACTGTAATAAATTAAAGATGCATACCTTAAACCACCACTAAAAACAAACAAGTAAGTAGAATTAATAATTGTGGGAAAATGTTAATACTAAAATAAAACAATTTTTTCTTAAAGGCAAGAAGAGAGGAAAGACTAGATAGATAAACTGAAAACAAAAAGGAAAAGTAGTACATTTAAACCCAGGCTCATTAATAATTACATTAACTTTCTGCAATGGTAGAAATATTCTACGTCCACACTGGCCACCACAGTTACTACATGAAGCTATTGGATACTGGAAATGTGGCTAGTGTGACTAAGGTAATAATTTTATTCAATAAATTTTCATTAACATGTAAATAGCTCCCTGTATCAAGCCAGCAGTTACCACATTAAACAATGCAGGTATAAATATTCCAAGTAAAAATAGGTATCATCAGACTGGATTAAAGGGCAAAACACAAACAACACTATCTACAAAATATTCAAATTAAATATAAAAACAGTAGTTTAAAGGACAGAAAAGATAAACCAAAGAAAGACTAATCTTAAAAAGTTGAAGTATCTATGTTAGTATTTTAAAAGTATACTTCAGAATAAGAATGCTACGAGAGCTAAAGATGAATATTTAATAACATGTAGTCAACTCATCAAGAAGATAAAACAATCCTAAATGTGTATGTACCTAACAAATGCACTTCAAAATACATAAAGCAAAACATGAGAGAAGTAAAGGGAAAAAAAAAATCAATGAATCCACAATTACTGTTGGAGTTTTCAACATCCCTCTCTTCCTACAGTTAAGAGAATCAAAAGAGAACAATTTAAAGATCACTATCAACCATCCTGACCTAACTGACATACATAGAATACTTTCCAATAACAGCAGCACAGACATCGTTTTCAAATATACATAAAACGCCAGCCACCAAGAGCACTTGATGGACCCTTCTGTTCTACTGTCTATATGTCATCATAGTGCCAATACCAGAAAGAACTAGTTTTGCCAACCATGGTAACAAAGGCCTATAATTTAGTGACTTGGGAGGCTGAGATAGGCAAAATTGGCACATGCCTGTCTCAGCCTCCAAAGTCACTCAAATTATAGAACCTGCCTCAAAATAAAAATTAAAAAGAGCTGAGGATGTGGCTCAGTTGGTAAAGTGACCCTGGATTCAATACCACAAAATTAAACAAACAAATGTCAAAAGTGAATTTAGCACAACCACATAACAAGAGAGCAATATAAAAAATTGTTTCTGTTCAAAGTCTATACAGTGAAAACTCAATAAAATTGCTAAGAAAACTGAAAAGCTAAAAGACGAAAAAATATACCATATTCATACATTGACGATTCAACATTGTTAAAATGGCAATTCTCCCAAATAGATCTTTAGAGTTAGTGCTCTCTGAATGAACATTCCAGCAGGCTTTTTTGTAGAAATTAACAATCTGATTCTAAAATGTATATGAAGATGCTTTTCAAATGCAAATATCCTAAAAGCCTAAACACAGAGTCAAAGCAGACTTACAGTGCGTCTTGAAGGAAAATAACATTTCATATATGAACGTAGGAAAGTTGGGTCTAAATATGGAGAGCTCATTTCTAACTCATTCTACTAGCTTTCCTGTTCCCAACCTCCCTTCCTTCCCTTTATCTCCCTTTGTCTAAACCACTAAATTTCTATTCTTCCCTCCGTATCCCCTTATTGTATGTCAGCATCCATATATCAGAGAGAACATTCAGCTTTTGGTTTTGGAATTGGCTTTTTTCACTTGGAATAGTCTCCACATTCATTTATTTACCAGCAACTGCCATAATTCCATTCCATTTTTATGGCTAAGTAATATTCCATTGTGTATACGTACCACATTCTATCTATTCATCTATTGAAGGGCACCTAGGTTGGTTCTATAGCTTAGCTATTGTGAATTGAGCTGCTATAAACAATTGATATGCTTGCATCACTGTAGTATGTTGATTTTAAGTCCTCTTGACTATATACCAAGGAGTGGGATAACTAGGACAAATGGTGGTTGGATTCCAAGTTTCCTGAGGATTCTTCATACTGCTTTCCAGAATGGCTGCACTAATTTGCAGTCCCACCAGCAATGTATGAATGTATCTTTTTCTCTTGCCAACATTTATAAAAAACAATCTTTCCAGCATTGCAGAGCAGATAAGTGATAAGTCTATAATATTTTTCAGTGGTATAATTCTTAGTGGGCAAATTCAGACAGTCCTCCAACTTAACTTATGATGGTTTAAATCACAATTTTTTTACTTTACCATAATGCAAAATTGGTATGCACTAACTAAAAGACATACTTTGAATTCTAGTTTTTTTTCCCCAGGCTACCAATATGCAGTATTATACTTTCTCACAATGTTGGGTGGCAGGAGAGAGCCACTGCTACCAGACAGCCTCAAAATCACAAGGGTAAACAGGCAAAACTCTCCTGTGTGCAGCATTGCTATGATGTTAGTAGATTAGATGTGTTCAACCATCTTCAACTTACAAAACTTTTCAATTCATGATGGTTTTACTAGGATTAATGCCATCATAAATTAAGAAGCATCTGTATTCTTTTTTTTTTTTTTAAAGAGAGAGTGAGAGAGAGAGAGGGAGAGAGAGAGAATTTTAATATTTATTTTTTAGTTATCGGCGGACACAACATCTTTGTTTTTATGTGGTGCTGAGGATTGAACCCAGGCCGCACGTATGCCAGGCGAGCACACTACCGCTTGAGCCACATCCCCAGCCCGCTTCTGTATTCTTATTGTTATAGATTTTAAAATGTTAAAATTCTATCTCAAGCCTGTAATCCCAGTGGCTGGGGAGGCTGAGGCAGAAGGATTGCAAGTTCAAAGCCATCCTCAGCAAAAGTGAGGTGCTAAGTAGCTCATGAGACCCTATCTCTACATAAAATACAAAAAAAAAAAAAAAATAGGGCTAGGATGAAACTCAGTGGCCAAGTGCCCTTGAGTTTAACCCCTGGTACCAAAATACTCTATAACAAAAATATTCTATCTCAAGTACTACTTGGATGAAACATTATTCTGTTAAAAACAAAAGTTCTGAGATAGGCATTGTAATGCATGCCTATAGTCCCAGCTACTAGGAAGGGTGTGGTAGGGGAATCACTTGGGTCCCTGAGTCTGAGATCAGCCTGGGCAACATAGCGAGATTCCGACTCAATAAATAAAATTTTAAAAATAAAAATTCTTAAGTCTAACATCTAAAAATGCTTGACAAATAAAAGAACCACATATTGTAATCAAAATCTTTATTGGCATAAATACTATAAAACACAAAAATATCCAAGAGGAAAGTGATAGAAAATTCAGGAACACTGTAAAAACTTTCATATTCAAGAGGAAAGTAGTGGAAAAGACTTTCTTAAAATCTCAGGACACCAGAGTTAAAAGTGAGAAATAAGTATATGTGCATATCATCAGCACTGAACTAACACTACTTTTAATAACTCACAGAATCAAAACATACTTACAGTTATGTGAACACTGAGGAATAATCATTGCAATGTTAAAATATTCAAAGCAAATTCCACATCGCAGTAAATCATCTATTCTCTGAAAGACAAAAACACATATATTCACATCAGAAAGACATAGAAATTGATCATCACAGAACTTTTTCTCTACCCCCCCACAAAAACAATTCAATAATACTTCTTTTTCAAATATACATATTCAGAAGCTAACTCCAGATAAATTGCAAGGGATCTTACAAATAGAAAACCCTACCCCCACCATTATTGTTACACATTCAAATCTCAGGTTATCCAAATTGCTTTGGACAGACACTAGTGACACTGCACAGATTCCTGTGTCATGCTCATCCCTTTACAAAAGGGCTACTGTGTTCCTGCTCTAATACCTGTGTTTACAGTTCTTACTCCAAGCCTCCACCTCTTTAGACCCCATCCCCTGGCCTATGTGACTGTTGGGCAAAAAGTTCCATGAGCCACAGTCATCATACAGGTTAAGAGCCAAATCAGAGGCTTTTAAAGGCAAATATTAGAAAATATCTAGTTAAAACCCTTACTTTGCAAATGAGAAAACTGTACCAAAGCTGGCTCACAATGCTGGACATGAATCAAGATAGGATTAAAATTCCTGTCTTTCTACTAGTAGTTTAGTGCTTTATGCATGGTACAACACAGTAGAGACAAATGAAGAAGTCCTGGAAATAGATAGGATCAGTGATAGCAGAAGGAGATGAAGAAGCAGACAATTTGGAATGTTAGATACAAGGGTGTCAACTTGGAATGCAATCTAAACAGAAAAGGATCTATTCTTGAAACCTAAAATTGTTTAAGCCATTTAAGTAAGGTACGGAGAGTATACATAGTTGCCACCTTCTTAAAAAGAGAAGGGTGAAGGGCTTGGGATGCAGCTCATTGGCAGAACACTTGTCTAGTATGTGCAAGGACCCAGGTTTGATCTTCAGCACCAAAAAAATGGGGGGAAGGTATTAAGAATGTCTTCTATTTTATCATATATATTTTAAAACTTCTGAAAAGATACACAAGAAAGCAATAAATGTTTCGTAGGAATCAGGGATCAAGAAACAGAACAAATGAGGGGCATGGTGGGAGAGACACTTTTCATTTTTTTTTGTATTTTTTTGAACCCTATGAATCTATCATGTAACTTAAGAACAAACAAAAAGGACTAATGTCATTACTAGTCCATATAAAATATTATGTAGCCATTAAAAACATGATTTCAGGTGCTGGGGATGTGGCTCAAGCGGTAGTGAGCTCGCCTGCCATGCGCGGGGGGCACTGGGTTAGATCCTCAGCACCACATAAAAATAAAATAAAGATGTTGTGTCCACCGAAAACTAAAAAATAAATATTAAAAATTCTCTCTCAAAAAAAATGATTTCAAAGAATAGTTAATGCCACAAGAAAATTTCCCCATTTTAATGGACATCTTTTTTTTTTAAGTCAGAAAACGAAATCTACAAAAATAACACATTATGGCAACTCTAGAGTTTAACCCTAACAACAGTAACGTAGCACAAGTATCTCAGTTTTCAAAACAAAGCCCGCCAGACACAGTGAGGCACACCTGTAATCCCTATGACTTGGGAAGCTGAGGCAGGAGGATGGCAGGTTGGAGGCCAGCCTCAGCAACTAAGCAAGGCCCTAAGCAACTTAGTGAGACCCTGTCTTAAAATAAAAATTAAAAAGGGCTGTGGGGTGTGACCCAGTGGTAAACCCTCTTGGGGTTCAATCTCCAGTACTATTTAAAAGGAAGTGGGGACGCTGGGGTGGTGGCTTAGTGGTAGAGCGCTCACCTAGCACGAGTGACAGGCAAGGGGTTCGATTCTAAGGACCACATAAAAAACAAATAAATAAAATAAAGGCATTTTATGTCCATCCACAACTAAAAAAAATAAAATAAAAATTTAAAAGGGCGGGGTGGATAAGAGAAACTGTTAGGGAGGAGTTAGGCCACAGTGTGACTGGACTAACAAGACTGGACTTGCCCCTAATCAGAAAAAAAGTGAGATTCTGTACAGCTGAGCACCCGCCTTGCTACGTGATGGTTACAAGATAATTAGAAGCCGGATGTGGCGGCGCAAGCCTCTAATCCTAGCAACTCCGGAGGCTGAGGCAGGAACACATGACGTTCGAGGCCAGTCCGAGAGAAACTTAGTGCGACTCGGCCTCAAAATAAAATATAAAAATTTAAAAAGGACCAGAAAGGATGGGGCTCAGTGGTAGAGCGCCCCTGGGTTCAGTCCCCAGCGCCGCAAAAATTTAAAAAAAAATAAATATTATTGGACGTACTGTCCACCCAAAATCATGCCCGAGGTCGCTGTTTATAATATAGTGCTTGGCACATAGGCAATTTCCTGAAAGGAGTAGCTGTCACTGTCGGTGTCACCACTTAGTGACTGTTTTTCTCCATGACACTGAATGTGGTGACAGAAACGCAGTGTGCCCGGTTCCTTAAAACGGCCAGCCTCGGTTCACCCTCAACGGCCGAAGCTTGCCCTCGTCACCGCTCAGCGGAGAAAACAGGCCGAAAGCCCAGCGTCAGGCTAGAAGCGAAGGAGCGCCGGGTACCCTGGCCCAGTCGGCAGTTCGCGCGGAGTCTTTTCTCCCACAAGGCGGGGCTGTCCTCCCACCGACAGACGGGGCCCCCTACGTCCCCGAAAAACTCACCTTCATCACTGCCAGGCCAGGAGGCCACCGAGGCTCAGCCAAGGTTTCCATGATCTCTCCTCAGGATGCCGGGGGCCCGCCTCCCACTGGCCTCCCGCGCTAGATTACTACTCGAAATTCCCCGCGCTACTGAGCTACGTCAGCAATTCGCGACGCGCCTGAGGCGAACGCGGAACCTGCCGGGAGTTGTAGTTATGGGTGGAGCGCTGCCGAAGTTTCCGGCAAGGCGCATGCACCAGGCTTCTGGTCCTCGTCTTCCCGCGCAGTTGCGTGGTTAAAAACCTCAGCGCCTGTTGAATATCAGAAAAAGACAGCCAGGAAACAGACCAAGGCCAGGCCTGTCAGATAGTTCAAAATGTAAGCCGATGCTTCCTCCTACCTGTCAGATAGTTCAAAATGTAAGCCGATGCTTCCTCCTTCGCGTCGCCTTCCGTGATGGCTGTAATAATCTGTCCTACTCTGAGCAAGACAGTTTTTAGATCTATTATTTCATCTCACCCATGTCACAACTCTGGAAGGGAGGTATATTTGTCAGTTTGCACAAGAGGAAGCCCCTGCCTAAAACAGTGAATGGATCTGTCTCAAATCACACAGTGGCGTTGAGGAGACTCCACATAGGCATGTGGGCTATATGGGCTTTAAATGGGAGCTCTTGCTTTAACTTTATTTATTTATTATGTGGTAGTCATGGTGGTGCTATTGAGTGGAACCGACGGCCTCGTGTATACACGCACTCTACCCCTGGCTATATCCCTGAGCCCTCAAATTAGAATCTTAATTTAAAATTATTCCTTTTTCTTCAGAGAGAACCACTGTTAGTATTGTACATAGCTACCAAATATTTCCTATGTAGACTAACAAAGATTCTTTGCCTGAACAAACTTTATTCAGACTCTTGAACTGATACCTAGAGAAGCGTGCAGAGGCAAGCATATGGGAAGCAGGGTTTATTTAAAAGGGGGTAACATAAATTTCTCCCTCAAGGAAGAAGGGGGTCATAGCTGGTACCATGGTATCCCAAGAGGTGAGGTGTTCTGCCCTTTTTATATGTCCTAGGCTTCCTTTGTTCTTTCACCCCCTATCTTTCTCCTTCCTGCATACTTGATTAGGCCCAGGAAATGCTTGGTGGGATGGCCAAAAGGTGGGAAATAGATGGGCTGAAGGAGGTAGGGCCCGGTGGAGTAGACAGGACACATTAACAACCTTATAGCTCCCAGTAGGGAGGGGAAATTCCAGGGACTGGTTACCTTGGCAACTGGTGGGAGCAGGAGCAGGTTCTTGATAAGATCCCTCAGGGGGCAGTCTTCAACTTACCCTATAGCTTGGTCCATAACAGGAACCACAATTGGGAGCCACACAGACCTAAATTTGAATCTATGATCTGTCACCATGCAATTTGGGGTTTCTAAGCCTTATTTTCTTCTTTTGTAAAATTGTGATGATAATGCCTACCTTGGAGGGCTATTATGATCTTTTTAAAATGCTGGAAGATGCCTAGCAGAGTGCTTGACATCAAGCAAGTGGCCATCTATGGCAGTAGTAGTCATAGTTGTCATTATTAGCAATTATTCTCCCTAATAAATGTTATTAGCCAGAAGGCAAAGAGATTATCCCTTCAGAGCTAGTACCTTTAATCTCCAGGAGTCTAAATCCCAGCTCTACCACTTGTCATGTGCAAATATGGTCTCTAAATATGGTCTCCAATAAAAGGAATCAAGAATGATTGGAGAAATGGCTTCTTTTAGATCTTTTTAAATGAAGCAGGGGCAGGGGCAAGATGAGCCTGGAGCATCTAATTGTGCCCCCAAATAAGGAAGTTGTCAAAAACTAGCAGATGCAAGAGCCAGCTTAAAGTTGCTCTCACATTGAAAAGAACATTGATTGCATCTGATTTAAATACCCTGAATTTTTTTTTTCAGTACTAGGTTTTGAATCCAGAGCCTTTTGCATGCTAGGCAAATGCTGTATCATTGAGCTACATCCCCAGCCCTGTTTATTTTATATTTTGAGACAGGGTCTCAAGTTGCTTAGGGCCTCACTAAATTGCTAAGGCTGCCCTCAAACTTTTAAATCTCCTGCCTCAGCCTCCTGAGATTACAGACGTGTGCTGTCATACCCAGTGTCAGCTAAATCTTTTGAAATACAGGAGTTTATCATGAGTCTCAGCAGAAGAAAAGTAATCCCTCATCTACCACTGGAAGTAATTGTATCAGCTTCTCTGAAAATTAACAAATGAACTATATTTCAGGGAAATCCTAGCCCTCTTTGGATCCTGATTTGAACAAACCGACTTTTAAAAGACATTTTTTAAACCATCAAGAAAATTTGAATATGGATTAGGTCTTAGACTGAGACATTAACATTTATTCTAGTCATTGTGATAATGAGGTTGTAATTATGTAGAGAAATATTATTATCAGAGACATAACTGATGTGTTCCTGGATGAAATATCACCCTACAGGTGATTTATTTTAAATTAAAAAAAAAAGACAAAGCAAACTTGGAAAAAATTTAATTGACTATTAAATCTCGATGATAGACAATGGTTAATTATACTATTCTCTTTCTCTATAAATTTGATTTTTTTTTCATCAAAAAAATAGAGGCTGCTTTATCACATACCAGCCAGAGCAGAACAACTCCTTATTTATCCCAGTTTGATTTATGATTTGTACCTATGCCTGATTCATGTTCTGAACCAGGAAAAAGAAAAAAATTGAGACTGGGGGTTTAGATCAGGAACAGAGTGCTTGCCTAGCATATATGAGGTCATGGGTTCCATCCACCAATGCTGATATATATATGGTTATGTATATGCATATGTATGTATATGCTTACTCTGGCTGCTATCTTGAAAGTGGCCACATTGGGGCAGCAGAGCATCAGGCTACCTGTGAGCTCAGGCTTTGCAGAGGAATTGCAGATGGGCAATCACCCCATTCAATCATAATTCATTTATTTCTTATCCTTTGGTTTAACTGAATTTTAATGAGCTCTGACTACATTCACGGTATTGTGCTAGACTTAGGGGGGACAAAGAGTGCAATTCACCCCATCTCTTTCCTCCTGCTACTATGTGTAGTTTCTGGAAAGCAGGAATGGGCAGTCAGCAGATTGTCCTGGGTCTCTACAGACAGTGGTGTCCAAGTCTCACATCACTGGGATGGAGACCATGGCCAGATATGTTGGAAAGAAGGAAAATAATATGGGGAGTGGAGGGAGCTGGCCACTTGTGTTGAGTGAGTTGACCTATAGGCATTGGGTTTGTTATTCACTAATTGTGTGGTCTTGGGAAAGCTACTTTGCCTCTCTGAATCTTGTGGGGCCAATAACAGTTCATAGCTTTAGCTCCTCTGTTGGAAGAGAACAAGATAGTCTATGTAAATGTTTAATATAGCATTCCCATACCCAGAGGTTCCCATTTGGACCTCTGGGGTAAAAGCAGACCATCAACTGTCCAATTTACATAAAAGCCCCAATGTTTGCTAAGGGAAATGACAAATGGAGCTTTTGGAGTGGGACTCTGAAACTAAGGCTCTCCCAAAGGCAAGATCACAATCATAGAAGCTATATTTACTGAGGGTTTTCTCTGTGCCAGCCATGGTCCCAAGAGTAAGGCTATGAGGCAGGTGCTGTAACTGTCCCTACTTTAGAGATAGGGAATTAGGAGGTTCAAGAACTTTCCTGAGGTTTCTCAGCTGGAGAAGATGGGAGGCCAGGATTTACACCTAGGCAGTCTGACCTTGGAGTCCTCATTCATGTCCATGAGGGTGGTTGTACTCCCTTTTGGAGGTGGTGCTGCACAAGACAAGGCATTTACCTAGACACAAAGGGGTTTCTCTATAGTTGATAGAAGTCTGTGGACCTGCAGAAAGGGTGACAAGAATGCTATGAAATGTGTTTCCCAGGAACGCCCCCTGGAGGACAGAGCAGTTAATAAGCTCACTGGGTTTTGCCTTCTCAGCATTACTGTTCTGATAACAGAACCCACCTTGTCCTCTTGGGAAAACACCCTTACCCTACTCTCTGCCATGTGATCAGGCAAGGCTGACCCAAGTTTCTGGATAACACTTGGGCAAGATGAGACCAGGTTAAGAACAGCAAGACCCGCCCTCCAATCAATGATTGGTTCATGGTAAGCATGTGACTCAGGCTAGACCAATCAGAAAATCCTGGGAATTTTACTCTTGGCCTAAGAGATCCTGGGTGTGTGTGGGTGTGGGTGTGTGGGTTTGGGTGGGTGTGAGCATACACACACACATACCTGCAGCTACATGCCCATATGTGGCTAGTGTGTAGCTAAGTGCTAGGATCTAAGCTTGGGATTGCTTTGGGATTTCATTCAGAGAATGCAGACTGTATGATGGAGAGCAGAGCGGTGAGGTAGGTTTTTGTCACTTTGAGTGAACATGTCCTACTTGGTGCGTTTCACAAACAATCGCCTTAAAGCAGAAAGGGACACGGTATGGATCAGAGGATTAAAGAGCAATGAGCACTAGACTGGGTTAGAATGAGAAAATGGAGAAGGAAAATATTGTTGTACAGGACAAGAGTAGGGCTCTGTAAGCTGCCTGGAAAGAAAAGTGTATAGTTGGGATCTAAAAAGCTTCTAGCTGGAACCATGGACTAATCCATTTGAAGGATTAATAATTTGAATGAACTACTGGATGAGAACTATAGGCATATGGGCTATGGCTGGAGGAGTATGTCCTTGGGGGTATGGCCTTGGACTTTATATTGCCTCTGGCTCTCTCTGCCTTGTGGCTGCTGTGAACTGAATAGCTTTCCTGTGCCTCACCCTTCAGCCATGATGTTCTGAGTAACAAAGTAGGCAGAGGTGGGCTGAATCTCTCAAACCCTGAGCCCAAAGTAAGCTCAGAAGTTTTCCTCCTCTTAGTTGTTCTTTTTTTTTTTTCAATATTTATATTTTTCAGTTTTCAGCAGACACAACATCTTTGTTTGTATGTGGTGCTGAGGATCGAATCCAGCCTGCACGCATGCTAGGCAAACAGGCTACTGCTTGAGCCACATCCCCAGCCCCCTCTTAGTTGTTCTTGTAAGGTATTTTAGTCACAGAAATGAAAAGCCGATTAACACAGGTCTGAAACTTTGCTCCATGCCTGGGACCTTGATCTCCAT